GGGGGCTGTTAGCACCTGCACAGATTACCTCCTCTGAGCTGGGTGAGGTGGGACAGGGGCCGGGAGCAGCAGTAGGGATGGTGACCCAAAAGCCCTTTCCTGTGGGCTGGGAGCAGCCGGAGGGATGGTGGCCGGGAAACCCCTTCCTCTGGACCAGGAGCAGTGGGATGGTGGCTCAGAAGCCCCTCCCTCTGGGCCGGGAGCGGTGGGAGGGATGATGGCCCGGAAGCCCCTTCCTCTGGGCCAGGAGCAGCGGGACAGAAGGTGGCCCAAAAGCCCTTTCCTCTGGGCTGGGAGGAGCGGGAGGGATGGTGACCGGGAAGCCCCTTCCTCTGGACCAGGAGCAGTGGGACGACGGCTCAGAAGCCCCTACATCTGGGCCGGGAACAGTGGGACTCAGTACCTTGGTCTGGTGGTCTGGTGTCCTCTGCGCCTTGGTAATGTGGAATCAGGTGGCTGCCTGTCTGCAGTGGGGTGATTCGGTGTCTTCCGCGTGACTCAGGACCTCGGTAGGGCGTGCACAGACCTGCCTGTCTGCAGCGGGCTGATTCAGCATCTTCCGCGTGACTCCCAGAAGTGCTTTGTAAATACCACACTTTCAGCATAAGGACTACATGGAAGAACATTAAAATGCAGATGCCTGGGCCTAGTTTTATAATCTTTAGTTCAGTGGGACTGGTATAGGGTCTGACTTGGAATTCTCTGGTGGAAGAAGGGGACCGGAATCCTTGTAGAGAACAGGGAAAGGGGACGTTACTAGAACCTCTGCAGTGAGTCCTAGTCTCCTGCTAGCCACAGCAGCACAAGGCAAATTAACTTATACAGGAAAGATAGAAAAATGAGACTTTGAGAAGAAGCTGAGCTTTGAGTGTGATCAGTGCTGCTCTGGGCGGCAGAGACGAGAGCCCCCAGCTTACCGCACCTTTATTCAGTACATCAGGAGAAACAGATGTAACAAATGACTTGCAGAGAGTTCAGTACATGGGGAGAAACAAATGGAACAAATGACTCAGGACGGAGAGCTCAGTACATGGGGACAAACAAGGTGTAACAATCCAAGAACAATGAGGAATTGAGTAGATGAGGATTTTGTTCCTCCCAGGATGTCTTCAGCTGGTGTAATCTTGTCCTGGAGAATCACAGCATCACCGGATCACTGAGGTCCCAGTTGTGACCGGGGGCCAAAATGCAATTATGTCTCAAAATGCCAGAGCCGGCCTATAAGCAGGAGAACTAGGCCTAATCAAATGATTTTCCCGTAAAATTATGTAGCATTGCTCCTGACAGATCCTCAGGGAAGAAAAATCACCATTCAAGGAAATGAACTGCTAAGATGCTTGTGGGAAGTGCAGGATGATTGGGCCAGGCCCTTGGGAAGAAGAGAATAGCACTGAAGGAGGACTTCTGCTGCTTCTGCACCAAAGGGAGTCATGAACAGATTTACTGTCCCAACTCAAAGAAATGTAAAAAGAGGGAAAAGTTCATATGACAGGAATTTAGAGCCCTGGGAGAGAGGCCATCCTTGAGAGAGCCAGCTCAGTTGCCAGAGTGGGAGCTTTTAAGCCACTGATCAGGATGGGACCCTCAAAGAGGCAGCAGTGTAACTGACTGGAAGGGACAGAATTGAGAATCAATAGAGACACAGCAGCTGGAGGTCATGTGGCAAAGACCAGAGAGAAGCCAGGTGTAGAGGCTCCAGTCTGGGCTGAGCAAGGTCAGCGGACCATCCACAAGGGGACCTGAGACCATCACCTTTTGTGCCCCTCTTTACCAGGCAGCTTCAAAGGGTCCAAGCATGAATTCCATCCTCCAGCTGCTGCAGAAAAGCACAGGGAGGAAGGTCCATGGGATGGTGGAGTCCTAGTTACTTCATGCCACTGTCAACGTCAGCCCATTGAGGTGAACTTAGGTGCAGGGCCACATCTAGCAGCAGTTAGGGCTGAACAGGAGGGTTCTGGTCACTGAGGCCCTTCTAGGCAGCAGCTGTGGAGAGGCTCACATGGTGCACAGTAGCTGGGGGCCCACAGCATCAGGATGGGCTCAGCACCCAACCTTGTATACTATCAGTACTTAGTATTGAGGAAGGAGCGCTGAGAACAGGGTGGCAACTACACAGCCAAATGGTCAACCTGGTAACCTGCAACAGGGTGGGGTATTTAATCCAGGACCCTCTCACTCTCCCAGAGCTCTGGGAAAGCCATGGAGAATTCAAGGTCTGATGTCATGATGGCAGGCTGAGTCACAGCATGCTCTGATTGAGAATTTGGACATTTCTTCCACATACAAATATGAACAGCTCTTGTTCTTCCCACACTATGTAATTCAGCCTCTGACCTTTTCTCCGATAAACTTGCCTAGCTGCAGTCCCCTAGTGACCTAATTTCCTTCTACTAGGCCTCAACTCTTAAGTTTCCACCTCACAATACCACTACAGGCTGGGGACCAAATCTTTAACACTTGGGTTTTCTTTTTTTAATTTTTTTTTTATTAAATTCTTTTATTGGTACATTGTAGGTATACAACACAATTACATTTCTCATTGGGAATTGTACCTTTACATGAAGCATATTGGTTCTTATTTTTTCCCCATTCCTAGCCCTCCCTTCACCCCCTCCACCCCCTCCACCCTTCCCTATTTACAAAGACTTTATTTCCATTTTTTCCATTTCTCATCATTTTTCCTTTCACTTCTTTCCTTCCCCCTGCCCCTCCCACTACCCCTACCCCTTTGGACCTTTTCTTCCTATTTTGCATTATCGATTATTCATTCTAATCATTGGTACATTTTAGGTATACAATATAATGACATTCATCATTGGAAATTTGCACCTTTACATAATCTCTCTTGGTTCTTATTTTTCACCCTTGCCCAGCCCTCCCTTCAACCCCTCCATTCCTCCCTATTTACAAAGATTTTGTTCCTATTTTTCCATTTTCTCATATTAATCCCATTCCCTTCTATCCTTTCCCCTAGCCCTCCCACTTCCTTCCCCTTTGCCCCTTTTCTTCCTATTTCACATTACCTATTATACATTTAGTCCTTATTTACACTTTCAGTTTCTCACACCAGAGAAACTATTCGGTATTTATACATGTGTGTCCTATTTATTTCACTTAAGAGTATTGCCTCAATGTGCATCCATTTAGCTATAAATGTCTCTAGTTTCTCATTATTTACGGCTGGGTAGTACTCCATTTTATTAAAAAACCACATTTTCTTTATCCAGCCTCCAGTTGATGGGCATTTGGGCTGTTTCCAAGTTTTAGCTATTACAAACTGTGCTGCTGTGAACATGGGCGCACATATATCACTGTGGTATGAGTCTTTTAATTCTTTGGGGAAGATCCCCAGCAGTGGAATAGCGGGGTCAAATGGGACTTCCAGTCCTAGTTCTTTGAGATATCTCCATACTGATTTCCACAGTGGTTGCACCAGTCTACACTCCCACCAGCAGTGGAGCAGGGTTCCTCTTTCCCCACAGCCCCGCCAGCATTTGTTATTGGTGGATTTCATGATAGCAGCCATTCTTCCTGGAGTGAAGTGGAATCTCGGCGAACACTTGGGCTTTTTGGAGACATTCAAGATCCAAACTAACGCAATTTTATATCATTATAGGAAGCTATCTAAAAATGTTCAGATTTAGAAATGCTAGATTTTTAAAAGGTCTGCCTGTCAATCTGTGCAAAACTATCTTACTGAGACTGGCTAGAAGGTATCTATTTCAAAGGGGTAATAAGGGCAAAACAGTATTGTATAATGTAAGTTGTCAAAGGGAGATATATGAGCAAAAGGTCATTTCTACCTTTCCTTCTAAGCTGACTTAGTTGCGGGATTTCCATTACTTGGCTGTGCGTGTATGATGTGCCTCATTCAGTTTGAGTTTTCACAGATGCTGAAATTTTGTCAGCCTAATAAATGATGTGTCATTTCTCTTGATCACAAAGCATATGGAGCAAATGTGAAACTGTTTCTCTTTGGATTGTGACTATGGTGCTATGGTTAGGAGCAGCAGACGATTTAAAAGGAAATAAAGTTTTGCTTTTCCCCTTGATAAAGGTATGAACTTGGATGGATGATCACCTTGATTACCAGGTGAACTTTGGAGGAGCTATGTGACAACACAGAGCCAATGGCAGTGTATTGCTTTCACCTAGGAAGAGCTGCCCTTTAGCTTAAGACTAGGTATGTGGTGGTGAGGATCTGTGGGCCTGCAGACAGGTGAGGTTTCTCTCTCTTTTGCAGCCCCCTTAGTTTGCCTGTGATGGGGAACACAGTCTCACTTGGTGCTAAGTCCATAGTGAAACTGTTTTCTCCATTTTCTGCATTGGTGAAGAGGATTTCCTGAATTGGTAGGAGTTAGTATTTCTTATTTTCCCTCTACCTGCTTTTAAAAAACAATTTGGCAAGGACATTTGTATTAATTTTTTAAAGGGATAAACCATTGTCCCTACGGTGTCATTTTCTAAAACTGACAGTTTACCTAACGCTAAACAATCTTGGCGAGGTCAGGTAACAGGTATCTGTTTTCTTTCGGTTTTCTGATTCTTCTTTTACAGCTTGTACGCCTTAGTTGTGTGATCCACAAATGCTTTAGTTTCTTTTTCTTTTTCCTTGGAAAACATCTCTGAGCATTTGTGGTACCCTAGAATTTGAGGGAAATGTCTGCTAGCATTTTAGTTAAGGGAACATGATCCTTTCCTTTCGTGTCAGATTTTGGTTACAAGGTCGTAAGGCTTGGAGGGGACTCGGGCTTTAGGACTCAGCCTTGCAGCCCCTTTGTAGATTCCAAGGGACTGGAGACAAACGCGGACTGATGCAGGGCTCAGGAAGGCCTTTGAGCCTGGATAGCGCATGCTAGAAGAGGCAGAGACCTTATGCCGGTCCCTAAATCTGGTGGTGCATAGCCTCTTGGGAAGTAGAGTCCCAGTACTATTCTGTTAAAGACTGCCACGGCCCGGGGACGCGGCCTTCCGGTGCAGGCTTCGCCCAGTGAGCGTGTTTACGCATGCGCGCTGCCTTCCGTCTGCCCTCGTTTCCGGTGCGTACCGAGGGCCGGCTGCTCTGGTCGCTCGGCTTTGGCCTCCGGTGGACGAGAGTTGCGGAACCCGAGGGGCCAGGGACACCTGCGTGGGCGGCACCAGGAGGGCAAGGGCTGTGCGGACCCGGGTCTGCGCGGCTGGGCGGAGGCTCCAGTGGGAACGGAGTGCCGAGCCCGTGGTGGGCCGAAGGGGCCGAAGGGGCCGCAGGGGCCGGGCGGGCGGCGGCGGGACCTGGCGCTGCGGGCGGCAACCTCGGTGGCCCGGCTGACTCTTCGGGACGGTGAGTCCTGGGGGGCAGATCGGGCCCTGACCTAGCATCTCCGGAGAAGCGGGGCCTTCCAGGAGATGGAGGGGGCGGGTCAGCCCCACCCAGAGCCCTCGGGAGCCGCGGATCCTCAGCTGGGAGGGCGTGGGTTTGCGAGCCAGAGGAGGCACGCGTGGGCGAGGGAGGGTGTGGAAAGCTCGGGAGAGATGGCCGGTCCGGGAGCGCGGGGCAGGCCACGCAGGTCGAGGTGCTGTGCCTGGACGAGGTGCACTGGGGAGGAGGCGTCCCTGGCCTCTGCTGTGGGCGTCGGTCTGCAGCCCTCCGTCTCCTCCCAAGGTGTCTGTAAGCATCTGTCAGCCCCTTTGCTCTCTGTCTGCTGAGTCCCTCGGGTCTGTTCTTGTAGACTTCAAAAAGCAGTACAGTGCAGGGCAGGGCAGGTCCCTTGTTGCCTCCACAGGTAGAGGAAGAGATTGGGTCTGAGCAGGTGAGTGAGTCGACCAAGGTCTCAGGCTTTCTGGGCAGGATCGGTGCTAGGACTCAAACTCTCAGACTCGTGTGCCCTCTACTGTATTGCAGTCAAGTTCTAGCGGCTTGACAAAGGATGATTTTGAGCGGCATTATTCAACTTTGTACAAATAAAGTCCCAACCTTAGCACTCTCTTCTTTTATTCAGAGCATCCTGTGGATTTTCTGGGCTTCAGGAGCTAAGAGTCAGTGAAAAAGTAGATGAATGTTGTGTGACAGAATTCTTTTTTTCTCTGTCATGTAATGATGGCAGAGTTCTGTGTTCTTCACCATGAAAATCTCACCCCCTCATTGGCCATGTAACTGTATGTGGGTTATAAACATGCACGTGGGCATTGCTCCTGATTCGTTCTAGTCCTCTGAGGGCCCGTTGGGACAGTCTCCCATAAGGCTGACTTACGGGGAAGTTCCTGGAACTTTCTGGGTAGGTTTTTATGAAGGATACCCCTGCAGTGGTAGGGCAGAGCACACATAATGACACTGCCTGCATTTGTCTCTCCCAGATCTGCCTCCGCTTTTACTCTTCTACATTCTTCCAAGAACAGTTGAAAATGAAGAAATCCTTGGTGAGTTTTTCTATTCATGTGTTTATTCTTTGCTTTGGTTTACAGTATACCCTAGGAGGTGAATAAAGTTTCCAGCTTTAAAGGGGGAAATAGAAATAGGTTTGGTCAGACAAAACAGGGTTGGAATTAGCACCAGGCATTTTTACCTTGCCCATTTATGTAGATAACACAATCACAAATGTGTCCCACCTCCTTGGCATTCATAGCAAAAAAGCACAAAACCATCCATTCCTTGCAATGCATTGATCATAAGCAGAAACATGTTTGTTTTCTCATGGGTTTTAAAGGTATCTTTGATGTAATTGTGAATAGCCTTCCCACTAAACAACCCTTAAACCACTGCTATAGGCGTCTTACTTCTCCTTCATAAATAAGAAAGCGGAGTGTGTTCTGCTCAGGAAGGACTTGATGCACACAACTTTTCTGGTGACCAAAACATTGCTGCCCTGTGGGTGTATTGTTTTTACTGCGCATTCCAGGGATGCACATGGATCATCTGAAGGAACAGTCTTTTCACCCTTAAGGGAGTCTCCATAAATAGTTGATTAGGAAAACAAAGTTGCCAGTGTTGAACTGGGAGGGAAAAGAAGATGGGGAAAACAGGTTTGAGAAAAACCACAAGTAGATTTTTGCCATTTTAAACTGGGGTCATTCACATGAAAAGCAGTGGGACTGGTAGGAAGGCAAGGTGTGCTTCAGCTCCAAGTCTGGGCTGGGAGTCTGGACTGGGAGATGGACAGGGCTGAGCCCATGGCTTTTCCATGTACAGAGCCTACCAGCGGCGGAAGGACTGGGTGGGGCTGCTACTAAGGCAAGAGTGAGAACCAGTGAGGTTGTGGAATGCTATTCACAATGAAGCCCAGGGGCGTAACTGGCCATGAGGTTCAGCCCTGGGCAGGTCCTGGGCCTCCTCAGGATGCGCTTGGTTGAACCTCGGGGTAAATCCTGACTTGCGGGGTTTAGAAAAGAGTTTTTAGAGTCAGATTTGATCTGTTCTTAACTTAGAAATTCTACCCCAAAGGGGAGAAGAGAAATTGGCCCCTTGCTGGAGTGGGAGTTGAGGTCACGATAGGATTCTGTTGTGCGGTAACAGGGACAGCCCAGTGGGGAGTGAACACAGGTGATGGGTGTGAGACTGGAGGCCTCCTGGAGTCAGCCCGGGCAGACAGTTGCTGACTCAGGCCTGGATGTGCAGGGGTGCTGTCTTCCTGTGTACTTCTCTTCACTGGGAAGTAGGTCCTGCCCCACTGAGAGGGAAGCCCTGTGGCGGGGAGCCCTGTGGCCCAGCTGGGGTTCTCTCCTCCTCATTTCCTACAACATGGACAGTTTGCACTTGGGGCCACTCACATCTTGCTTTTCAGCCGGAAGCAGTGGACACCAGTGATTCCCCCATGGACTTGCACCCTGTTCTGTGCCTGGATCCCCAAAGAAGCCTGCCGCCTCTCGCTCCCCTCCTCGCCTAGTGCTTCTCCTCTGTCTTAGCCATTGATGGTGCAGTTCTCCAGATATGGAGATGGGCTTTTAAGAGGCTTTCCTTGGAGGTGCAGTTGACAGAGTAGAAAGGGGTGGTGAAGGGAGTCTGGGTGGTACGTGCCTGGGGTGCCTGGAGTGACAACAAAGCAAAGGTCTGGTTTTCAGTATTGTCAGAATGTCCTGACAGGGCACAGGGATGAGGTGGGATTCCCACAGTGATGGAGGCTTTAGGGGCTGAGGATTTCAGATGTGCAACTGAGTGCCCAGAATAGCCTGGGATGGAGTTGGGGAGCCGAGCAGGGCTCTGGAGGGCCAGTAAGGGACCATGAGATCAGGCAGTAGAGATGAACACTGAGAAGAGCAGCACATCATCAGATAAAAAGATGTAATCATAGATTGACCAGTGTGGAAAGCATGAAATGCTGGGTGTACGGAGGCGGCAGCCAGGGGACTCGGCTTCACAGCTGAGCTCCGAGATCAGGAGTAGAACAGCATTTCAGGGAATCCCAGGCCCAAGAATGTCAGTAGGCTGGGGGTTCTTCATCATGGATGAGGAGGCTCAGGTTTGAGTGTATTCATACATTTTACTTAGAAGCCCTTTTCTTTCACTGACTAGATTATGTTTTAGAGTAATTTTATTTTTTTTTTGGTACCGGGGATCAAACTCGAACTCAGGACCGTATGCTTTCGAGGCAGGAGGTGGCACCACGGAGCTAAATCCCCAGCCCTAGAGAAATTTTCTTATGCAGGTATCACAGAGTTCTCATAGATTCCTCTCCTCACAGCTTCCTATTAGTAACATCTTGGATCAGTGTGGTACAGTTGATAAACCAATATCAATACATTATTTTTATTTCCTAAAGTGAACATGGGCACAGTGGTACACACCTGTAATCTTAGCTACCAGGAGGCAAAGGCAGGAGGACCAGAAGTTCAAAGCCCACCTCAGCCAAAAGAAAAAAATTATTTCCTAAATGTATAGTTTATACTCAGGTCCACTCTGTTTTATAGTTCAGGTTTTGACAAGTTCTGGTGTATCCAATGTCACAGTTTCATCCAGAGCTGTGTCACTGCTTCAGAGACTCTCTTGTGCCCTATGTCTTCATCCCTGCTTCCACTTTGAGTTCCAGCAGCCGCTTATCTTTTTATTGGCTCTCTATTGTCATCTTTCCCAGATGATCATCTAGTTGGAATCACACAGTAAGTAGCTCTTCGGTCTGGCCCTTTTATGTGGAGTGCCCAGTATATCCATGCAACCTTTCTACTGTGTTGTTTTTTTCCTTGTTGATGTGTAAGTAGTGTTACCCGTGGTACTCGTGGTTCATTGGAGGCATGACAAGTACCAGAAATGACAAGTACCAAATTGTTTTGGCTGGAAAGGGTAGCGAATCACGAGGCAGTCAACACCTACAAGTTCTAGTTTTTGTGTCCAGTAACAAATGACGAGTTATCAGGAAAAACTGGTACAAAATACAAAATGCATCAAGGACCTAATTTGATGAGTTTCAAAGCAGCGGAGTACCGAGGTTCAGCTGTACTCTCAGATGTTTATACGTTTTTCCAGTTTGGGTCGTGTTAGTAAACATTTTCTTCCAAGTTGATTTCTCTTTGATTTTACTTTACAGTATTACCATATGACTGTTGAATATTTCCATCCTGAAAAATGAAGTAGTATGTACTTTTAAACATCTCAGGGTGAGAAAGCTTGGCCCAGGTGGGAACACCCACTCTGCTATGTTCTGAACCACAGCTTCTTCATGGGCCTTCTCAGTGCTGGGACTGGGAAGACTCTGTCTGGTTCCTGTTCGTAGTGTTCCCAGCTCCCTCCTGTCTCCAGAGTGCTGCATCCATTGTGTTCCCTGGGTGGCCGCACAGTGGGTGTCCTGAGGTCTGACCTGGGGTCTGCACATCCAACAGCGTCCAGTAACTGGCTGGAGGCCTCTGGCCTACAGTCATGTGGCCTCAGCAGCAGGTCCTGGTGACACATGTGAGGCTGCTGTGACCTTCAGAAGCAAGTGAAGTGAACCACTCTATCTTGTTTACGCTGCAGTCCTCTGAGGAATGTGCCTTTTTCCCTTTGTTTTTACTAAAGGAGTTCCATGGTTTCCCCTGAACTCTTGTCTGCCTGAGCCACTCAGGGGAGTGTGGGATAGGTAAGGGGGGGCTCCCCGCCAGGCAGCAGTAGAGGAGCTGTACACACCAGACACCGAGCCCTGAGGGAAAGGTCCCCAGAGAGCTTCACCGAAGTATCCTTCCTCTCGGGGGCCAGGGTCCTGGCTTCTGAAAACAGAGCGTCTAGTTCTGAGTTCTGTTCTTATGAAACTGTCTTTGGAACATTGTCTCCACAGAGCAGTCTCTGTCCCTTTTTTCTTCCATTGAGATGGGGCCTTGCTGTCTTGCCCAGGGTGGTCTCAACTTCTGGCCTCAAGCAATCCTCCCACCTCAGCCTTCAAGCATCTGGGACTACAGGTGCATGCCCAGTACTATAGGTCACACCCTTGTCTTACGAAACTAACCTAAATCCCTAAATACATTCAGTTCTGATTGATTGGTTGTGTTTCTGAAACCTGTTTTCTTAGTTATTGCCTGCAAAACTTGTTTTGAGCCAGAGGAGCCAGTGCAATTTTTTTTCCTTTGTGAATAAAAATGAACTCAGGCGCAAGATTTAAGCTATCAAATAAAAACTCAGTTTGGAACATCGCAAGAATGGTGCTTTTAGGCAGCCACAGTGTGTTCATTTTATGTGCATTGCAAACAGTAGAAACTTTTTTTTCTTATACTATTATTTTTTTCTCATAAGGCACAATTATAAGCCATAAAAATCACATAATTGCACATTTTATAAAATTATAAATGAAAAACCAGAAAGTTAGAATAAGGGAATGCCTGTTCATGCATTAAAATTTGACGTTTCTTCATGCTTTGCTCCCTCAGTCTTTGCATTTGGTGATGACTTTTAATATATAAGAACTTAAGTGCTGACCTATTTGACTTTTTTGACCTCAAAATAATTTTCCTTTCTTTCAAGTAGCATTTCTTATTAAGCAGTCATTCATTTATTCAGTCACCAATGCAAGAATTCTTCTAATTACTGAGATACTAAATGAATTAAATATTCCTTCCCCAGCAAGCTGACTTAGGGTCCCTTGGTAGGAAAGACTCAAATGTGTAGATTATGTAAAATCTACCGAGGAGAAGTGTGAATGGAATGGTGCGTCCACCCTAAGTATGTTTTAGTTTCTAGTAACGAGAATGTCATGTCCCTGGGCTTGTTTCTGTTTGTTTGGTGAGATGGGGTCCCGCTGTGTAGTTGTCCTAGCACCTGGAGCTGAGGGACAACCTTAGTGTCCTGGATGCCCTGCCAGTAGGACCCTTGCTGCACGCATGGGTGGCTGCACACAGAAAAGCCAGAATGCTCAGAAATGTTGGTTTATCGCTGGCCTTTCTTCCCCACCTTTATTGATTTATTTATTTTTAAATTTTTTAAATTTTTTTTTTGGTACCAGGGATCGAACTCGGGTCCTTGCGCTTGCGCAGCAGGCGGCAAAACCACTGAGCTAAATCCCTAGCTCTTCCCCACCTTTTTACCTGTCCTGCCTCTGTGTTTTGCTGAAATCATCTGAAGCCTTTCTTTTTTCCATTTGATGATCCTTTCGGGGCAAGTGCATAAAACTCAACAGCTAATTAACCTTCCGGTTGCTTAAACTTCTAGTTTTTGTTTGGTTGTGTTTTGTTTTCTGTGGTGCTAGGAGTTGAACTGATGGCCTTGTACATGTTAGGCAAATGCTCTACCACTTAGCCACGTCCCCAGCCCTTTTATTTTGAGACTCACTAAGTTGACCAGGCTGGGCAGCTTCCAGTTTTTCTGCCTCACCCTCCCAAATAGCTGGGATTATAGGGGTTCACCACTGTGCCTGGCTCTTTCTGTCTTCTATGGTTAATTTTTAGTCCTATCTTGGAAACTGATAACACACGGTATTCAGCAATATCAATAGATACCATTGGTGAGTACACATCATGTCCAGGAAGCTGTGTTAAGTGCCTTCCCACAGAGCCCCCATTTCCTACTGGTGTTGTATGTACTCTGTGACAGGGACCATTGTCACTTTATTGTAGAAATGATGATACTGAAGGAACTAGTTGTAGTACTGATATATTTGTGAATGGGACAGGTTTATTCAAAAGACACACATTTCAAGATGGAGTTTTATCAGTTTTCCTGTAGTTATCTGTCCTTCTCTGGAGTGTGGTTCTCCTTTCATGGAATGTGTAAATGGAAAGAAAGGGGATTCAGGTTTCCCACCCAGAATTGGGAACAGCCAGGCCAAGCTATTACCAATAGCTCATGTGCCAGGCTACAAGCTTACCCTGCAGTAAGACGGAAAACTAGGCTGAGGATGTAGCTCAGTGGTAGAGTGCCTGCTCTTACATGTGTGAGGCCCTGGGTTCAGTTCCTAGAACCACAAAACAAAGCAAAAGACAGAAAACTAGTATGAAAGTTGCTTGCCTTGCTTATTGCTTTGTTGATTGTGGCAAGGCTTGGAGAGCAGTTCCAGCAGGAGGAACTGGCTTGGACAGGAATAGCAATTGAATTTCAGGTATATTGAGTTTAAGGTCTGCGACACAAGTATCTGAAGTTTAGGAGAGAGGCCTAGACTGGTGATAGAAATTTGGGAAATGCTGGTACAGAGATGACGAATTAACCATGATGCCAGGCAGGCTCACAATCAAAACAGCAAGTATGTACAGCAAAGAGAAAATGAACAGAGACTGAGCCCCAGGGCATCCACCTGCAGGGTAACTTGGAAAAGAGAGAGGTGCCTGAGAAGGAGTGGCTGGGAAGTAAGGGGAGAAGCAGCACCGATTATAGAAGGCATCCCGGGATCTGCTGAGTCCCCACAGACCTGTGTTCCTCCAGGGCTGTACCACCTGGTTAGACTTCCTCATGGCTAAGATTGCTCCTGGCTCACAGGACAAGCCCAGTATTTTCTTTATCGTAATGTATATGCATGAGCCCTGTGGCAGTGTGTCTGAGATGTGTGTTTCCTTCCACAGTCTAACATAGGATATACAGTATTCACAATGAACTTTTCCGGTGATGGTGAGAACATCTTATCCCTGTGTGCCTTTTCCGCATCACCTGATTTGGGTCACTCTGCCACTACAGGGGCCCTTATCATTCAAGGATGTGGCTGTGGACTTCACCCAGGAGGAGTGGCAGCAGCTGGATGCTGATGAGAAGACAACATATAGGGATGTGATGCTGGAAAACTACAACAACCTTGTCTCTGTGGGTGAGGACAGCTTGCTCTCTCAGTTACTAAAATCCATGGAATTTCTCTCAGATTTAATGGCTTTAACTTTGAATTTGGTGTGACAAAGGTGAGTGCTATATTTGGAACACCAGGCAGGGCACATTGGTGGTCTTGACCTCTCTAGTGAAAGCTTTGATTTTCATCAAGCACCAGGATACTTGTGTAGCACAGCAGCATTCACCCCACACAAGGAGACCCTGCAGCCAAGCAGCCAGGCTCAAGTTCTCTTTCATTTCTCATTAACAGGGTGTCACATTATCAAACCGGATGTTATCATCAAGTTGGAACAAGGAGAAGAGCCATGGATAGTAGAAGGAGCATTCCCACCTCAGAGCTACCCAGGTGTGTTAGTGGAGGCAGAGAGGAGATTGGTAACTGCGGAATGTTTCTCCTAGGAACTTTCTGATGGTCCCAAACCTTTTGAAGTGACTAAAGATAGTTATTTTATGCTGTAGGTACCTGACTCTCACTCCCAAAGACATCTTCCTTCCCCATACAAACATGCTTATGGAGCTTTGCCCTGCTTACCACTGCCCAGGATCCTTCTTCATCTTCAACCTTGGGACTTTCCCCAATCTGCTAGCATTTTCAGTAACCCATTATCATAGATCCCTTTTGTTTTTAGGTATTTATAAGTTTTTTTTTTTTAAATGTGGCTTTTAAGGGCCAGGGATTTAGCTCAGTGGCGCTGCCACCTGCCTTGCAAGCACAAGGTCCTGAGTTTGATCCCCAGCACCAAAAAAAATGTAGCTTTTATGTTATTAACTTTGGTTTTTGTTTTTTGGGGGGTTTTTTTGGGGGGGGTGTCCTTTATTTTGAAATGCCTCAGACTTGTTACTATGCCCAGTTCCACTTTTCCTTTTCTTTCTTTGAAAGATTCCAAAATCCCCATCTGCCTAAAAGAGTAGATTCTGACCGCTTCATTGGCATGTGTGATTGTACTTCATTTGATGGTGCTGGTCCTTCCTGAAATCCAGCCCTCCTGAAGTTTGGTGACAGCAGTAACTGGGTCTCCCTTTCTTCCTAAGTGCTCATTTTTATCAGCTCTTACTGTTTTATTCCTAGTGGCTTAAATAGTGTCCTGTCACAGCAGCTGCTTACTGAGCATTATATACATAAATGTTTGAATTGTCCTTCCCTCCTCCAGAAATGTCTTGCAAGGATCTGTTTCCACCTGCTGTCATTTCCTTGTTTTGTGAGTTCCTCAAAGGGCTTCTCCAGCTTTGAGTCTGTCGGTTTTTTGTTTTTATACTGCACACTAAAATTGACATTTCTGTCATCATTCTATAGACCTAGTGTTTTTTGTGACTACAGAGCTTGTCTTGTTCTCATATATCTGAAAACTGATTGTGAACTCTTCCAAATTATAATTACCCAACATCTTCCTCCCTTCCCTTACTAAATTACAGTAATTTCCCTATAATAGTCCTTGTAGAATCAATAAAAATATCCACTGCTCAGCAGGCATTACTGATCTCTACAAGATGGATGGGTTTTCTCTTTTTTGAGGTTATTTTTTTCTTCCTTGTACTAGGAATTAAACCCAGGCCTTCTCACTGAGCTACATCCTCAGCCTTATTTTTGTTTTTTATTTTGAGACAGGGTCTTACGAAGTCACTAAGTTGCCCAGGCTGGGCTCATACTTATGATCCTCCTGCTTCAGCCTTTCAGAGGCTGGGATTATAGGAACATGCCAACAGAGGTATCTTAATCCTCTGTGTACTGTTTCCTTTGAGTACTGTTCTTTGTCATGCCTGGATTGCTATGAATCCTGATTGGATTTGCAAAGTGTCTTCCTTTGAAGTCTCTGGTTGATCTTATGCCTAGCCTGACAAAAGACAGCCTCTCCCAGTCATTATGGCTTCCATGAGGGGAATTAACTTCTGCACCCTCAAGGGTCACCACAGTATTAGCCCTGTACTGCCTGGGAGAAGTAATTTCCCCAAACACTCACTGAGCTCATTTGGTCCACACTCTTAAAGTCTTCTCTTCTTCAGACTTTCATCCTGTGGCTTCATGTGTTGTGGGCGTGGCCTGTGCTTTCCAGACAACATGTTTTTAAGTCTGAGCTCAAATTTCCAGCCTCTGTGAAGTTTGGTTTCTTTCTGACTCTTGGGATTACTACACTGTTCTTTCTTTCCACTCTAGTTCCACCCAGGCCAAAAAACTGAAAGTTCCATGTGATCAAGTAATCTGGACTCTAATAGGATATAGATTTTGCTTCAGTTTTTTGGTTTCCTGGATTATAGTCCTATAAAGAAAAGCACATGTTGTTTTCCCTCAATACAGTCACATAGAGTAGTTATTTGTTTCTTTGATTGAGGAACCAGGAAGGTCAAAGGACTTTCTTGTCCATTCTTTCAGAACTACGCATAGGCAATTATTTCTGAATACACATTCCTGAGTCACATGCCTGTGTACTTTGCAAGTACCAAAAAAATCCTGTATGATTCAGATTAAGAACAACTTCTCTAATTTCAAAGGAAAAAGGAAACAGTCGTACTTCTAGGCCAGTAGTGGTGAACCTATGGCACAAGTGCTGCAGCGGGCTGTTTGTACCATTGAAAGCCCTAAAAGATTCGCTGTTCCAGGAGATAGGTTTTGGCTATCTGGGAACAGAGCTGCCTGAGATCATTGAAAACTTAGCATATTACCTGGAGTGCTGACGTTCTCATACAAGGCTGAGTCATACTGTGCTAAAATGATTTTATGGACAGTGCTTGTTTTTAACTTCAAGGGAAAATGGAGTTAATTGAGGTAAGAGAATTTGGAAGCATGGAAATCTCTTTTAAAGACAGGCTTTAAGTAGCCAGAGGCAAGAAGTCAAGTAAAGGGAGTGAAATATAAGAGCCAAGATCTGCGGCTGCAGCTGTGTGGGGCTTGTTATCAGCACCACAGCAATCTCAGCAGGAGGCGGTGGCACCTGAGATGCTGATCTGACTATGCCGGCTTCCTGTGACCCAGGAGTGTGAAGTTCTCATCACCTTCTCTAAAACCAAGCCCTACTTGGGTGTATCTTATGACTCTTTTCATACAACAAATAGTTTGTTTTTTGTGGGACAGAATAATTTTAGTGATGACTCATCCTAGCTTGAAGTCATTGTGAATCCAGGTAGTGAAAAAGTATTTTTATTGGTCCCCCCCCATTTTATCTGTTGTTTGGGGGCAGTAGATTCAGGGAAGCTATGGATTCAAGACACTAAGGTTACCATCGTTTTACTTGGTGTGAATGACAGCCAGGCCAATAGTCAGGTTCACTCCAGAAGTTCTAAAATGAATGAAAATGAAAGCCAGCCTTGTGGGAGCAGGTTGAGGGATCTGTCCTTAAGGCTTAAACCCTAACAAACTCCCATGCACAGTTAAGTGGTGACGGTGTGTCCAGCACAGGAAAAATAATTGCTCAACCTGCTGAGCATATTCTGGTTTTTGCCAAAAGTTCTTCTGACTGCCTCGCTAACTGGAGTAGGCCACAAGACCCCTGGAGGTCAGGCTGTCACCTCCACGTGACAGGTGGGTGCTGCCCACAGAGGCTGCCTGTCGCTCACTTGGTCACCTCACCCAAGTTCTGCTCCACTGTCCAGATAGGAACAAAAGGAATTGCACATTAGATGAGTTCAGTACTGAATCACAGAATATTTAAAAATTTTGAACTTTTGGAAGGGTGGCCTGCTCTCTAGACCACATAGGCTTCCTATTGGACACAGATGTTCCAAGACTTTCCTTCCAAGTGAGGTAGAGTTTAGAGGAGGAACCCTAGTCACTCGTTCTAAACATGAAGAAATTGGGCCGGGGATTTAGCTCAGTGGTTCCGGCGCCTGCCTCGAAAGCGCAAGGTCCCAAGTTAGATCCCCGGTACCAAAACAAACAAACAACAAAAAAAATGAAGAAATTCAGGTATAAATTTATTTGGCACTACTGTGTGGAATGGAAAAAAGCTATAAAGTAGTGTGAGAGATGCAGAATAGTCAAAGTGCTGCCTTAAAATCTTGGCATGAGAGGACAGGGCCTTAGGTGGCAACTTACCTCTCCCAAGGAGACATGAATGATGCAGAGCCAAGTGTCATTCACCTCCAAGCCGAGCTCTCTTGCTGCCCCATGAGTCTGCCCGTCCTGAGTCCCTTCATACCTCCCTCAGCTGTCCCCTCAACATCCTTTGTCTATCACTCATTGTGTCTGTATCTCACCTCTACAGCCAGTCCTGAGCAAAATATTACAAAGTACCAAATATCAAAGGTGCTGTGTTTTTGTTAGTTTACTTTCTCCACTACTGGAGGGTTGAGTTTTATTCTGAACACCAGAGTGAGGGAGAAGGCACTTTCGTATCTGTCCATGAAGCTAGCACCTGCCCCCGATGAGCTGCTGCATACCAGTCTCATTCTGTACCTTGGGCTGGAGGATACACAAAAGTTGGTTCCTTTTGCCTTTTTTAGATGAAGCCTGGCAAGCTGATGACCTGATGGAGAGAGTCCAGCAAGATGCAGATATGTTCTTCATCAATAAAACCCTGGTTGAAGAGAGAGGTAACGTTTCTGGTAAAGCTTTTAATGCAAAAATGAGCCCTGTTCCTTCAAGAAAAATAGCCTCTAAATGTGATGCCTGTGAAAAGAGTTTAACGTCTGTTTCAGAATACATTAGTAGTGATGGAAGCTATGCAAAAATGAAACCTGATGAATGTAGTGGATGTGGAAAATCACTCCTCCACGTTAAACTTGAGAAAACACATCCAGGAGATGAGTATGGAGGAACTTATACCATAAATGAAGAGAGTATTTATCAGAAAGTACGTATTCTGGAGAAACCTTTTGAATACATCGAATGCCAGAAAGCCTTCCAGAAGGACTCAGTTTTTGTTAATCACATGGGGGAAAAGCCCTATAATTGGAATGAATCCGAAATAGCCTTTCTCCAGATGTCAGACCTCAGTGGCCATCAGAGATCTCACGTGGACATGAAGTCCTATGAATGTCGGGAATGTGGGAAGTCCTTCTGTAAAAAGTCAAAATTCATTATTCACCAGAGGACTCACACAGGAGAGAAACCTTATAAATGTAACCAGTGTGGGAAGTCTTTCTGCCAAAAGGGAACGCTCACGGTACACCAGAGAACCCACACAGGGGAGAAGCCCTACGAATGTAACGAATGCGGGAAAAACTTCTACCAGAAGCTACACCTTATCCAACACCAGAGAACTCATTCGGGAGAGAAGCCCTATGAATGCGGTTATTGTGGGAAATCCTTCTGCCAGAAGACGCACCTCACACAGCACCAGAGGACACACTCAGGGGAGAGGCCCTATGTGTGTCACGACTGTGGCAAGACCTTCTCCCAGAAGTCAGCACTTAACGACCACCAGAAGATTCACACAGGTGTGAAGCTGTACAAGTGCAGTGAGTGTGGCAAGTGCTTCTGCCGCAAGTCCACACTCACTACCCACCTGAGGACACACACAGGCGAGAAGCCGTATGAGTGCAACGAATGTGGGAAGTTCTTCTCACGTCTCTCGTACCTCACTGTGCACTATCGCACCCACTCTGGGGAGAAGCCCTACGAGTGTGCTGAGTGTGGGAAAACCTTCTACTTGAACTCGGCCCTGTTGCGGCACCAGAGAGTGCACACGGGAGAGAAGCCATATGAGTGCAGTGAGTGTGGCAAGCTCTTCTCCCAGCTTTCCTACCTCACCATCCATCACCGGACACACTCTGGAGTGAAGCCCTACGAGTGCAGTGAGTGTGGGAAAACCTTCTACCAGAACTCCGCCCTGTGCAGACACCGCAGGATCCATCGAGGAGAGAAGCCCTACGAGTGCTACATCTGTGGGAAGTTCTTCTCTCAGATGTCCTACCTCACCATCCACCACAGAATCCACTCAGGAGAAAAGCCCTATGAGTGTAGTGAGTGTGGGAAAACCTTCTGCCAGAACTCAGCCCTTAACAGACACCAGAGAACACACACAGGTGAGAAAGCCTATGAATGCTACGAGTGTGGGAAGTGCTTCTCCCAGATGTCCTATCTCACCATCCATCACCGGATCCATTCCGGAGAGAAGCCCTTTGAATGTAATGAGTGTGGTAAAGCCTTCTCTCGGATGTCATACCTCACTGTGCACTACAGAACCCATTCAGGAGAGAAACCCTATGAATGTACTGAGTGTGGGAAGAAATTCTACCACAAGTCAGCATTCAATAGCCATCAGAGAATCCATAGGAGAGGGAATGTGAGTGTAGTTGATGTGGGACAGCTTCTCTGAAGTCAGACCTCAGACAGCCCTTTCAATACAATGAGCAAGAAACTCCTACCGGAAGTCAAACACTACTGTACAGTTGGCTCTGTATCCATGGGTTCTATATCTGGATTCAACCACTCAGAAATATTTGGTAAAAAAATTGTACCTGTACTGAGTACATGAAGACTTTTCTTGTTATTCCCTAAATAATACAGTATAACAACTATTTGCATTGTATTAGTTATTATAAGTAACCTAGAGGTGATCTGAACTGTATGGGAGGATTACATAGATTATATGCAAATACTACACAGTTTTACCAAAGGGCCTAAGCATCTACAGATGGAATTGGAGGGAGCAGGTCCTGGAACCAACACCCACTCCCAGCCCAACCTCATAGAGAAGAGGCACTGCATCTGAGAGCTCACGCAGGTGAGTGTGAATAAGCCCCATGCATTAGTCATCATCGGCATTCACAGGCAGAAACCATGATTGTACCAAGACCATATGACTTGTTAAATACTAGACTATATCGGAGTAGGAATATATAAATACTTAGAATATATGTGTGTGTGTGTTTGTGTGTGTGTGTGAGTGAGTGAGAGAGTGTGTTTCACCTAGGATTCAAACTGCTTTGCATATCAGGGAATTCTGTTAGTTTAAGGAATGTGGAAACATACTCTTTTGGAAATTGTTAATACTAAAAGACAATTCTGGTGTAAAAACAAACTTGTAAAAAAAAAAAAGAAAGAAAGACAAGATAGCTGCTGTTCCCGAGTTCGATCCCCGATACCAAAAAAAAAAAAAAAACATACTCTTTTGGAAATTGTTAATACTAAAAGACAATTCTGGTGTAAAAACAAACTTGTAAAAAAAAAAAAAAAAGAAAGACAAGATAGCTGCTGTTCCCGAGTTCGATCCCCGATACCAAAAAAAAAAAAAGATACCTGCTGGAAACAAACACACGCTTTGTATAAACAGGAGATGTAAAATCATCAGGATAGATAAAATCATCAGGATAGATGATTTTAAGTCTGCAGCATTAAATTCCTATATAAACAGTTCCCAAGGAAGACAGGATGAGGGGGTTGTTTTTTAGTATGTTACATTCAGGAATTGTATGTTCAGCATTGTATCCTTATGAATTTGTAACTCATATTGTAAGATAACTCATTCCAAGTCACATTTACACGTTAATACTTTAGTATGCACTGTCATTGAAATAACCTTTGGTAAGTATAAAGTATATTTGTAATCTTCCCTGGTATTTATAAATATGCACTTGATCATTGTTAGTGAACTACATGATCCATTAAAAAAGCAATTTTTTAAATAAAATAATGTCTTCAACTATAGATGACTCAGCAAAAGAGATAGATAAATATTATAAAATAGATTTTTAAAAATCCTACATAGATGATTTTAAATTGCTAAGCCAGAATTCTCCAGGAGTGAGAAATAGCTTTAGTACTTACTGCACTCTGCACAACTAAAAAATGTACTCAAAATATTACTATTTCTGTTTTTTAATCTATTTTTTATTTGGAGGTTTATTTGAGTGTGTATGGAGCACAGGGACTGAATAACATCGGAGTTAATTGTCTTTCTGGTCTGATAGTGTTTGTGAGCACTTGCTCTGCTCATTTATGAAGGAAGTGAGGACACATCCTAGGAGCTTGTAGCAGAATTTGTTGTGTGACTCCCCCAGTCACTGTCCTTACTTTGCTGGCAGAGTCTGGTTTCCCACTGCTCCTCAGGGTCAAGAAGTAAATCCTGGTTAGTTTGGATAAGTAATGATAATCCATTTTCACTGCCAGCAGTTGCTGTCAAATGGTTATAGGACCCAAGTCTAAACAAATGAACAAACACACTTGACAGGTTATTTCTGGAAAAAGTTTCCTCAAAGGTTCAAGGACTCAGGCAACACGAAGAAGAGTCTTTTTGTGAGAATGACTTTGTCTGGATGTGGTTCCTGGTAGTGTCTTCCAGCAAGGGCTATGGTTTGTTCATGACCTTCACAGAAAGACTGGAAGATTCTGGAACTCGGACGATGGAGTCACTGACCCACAGAACCAACCAGCCTTGAGGCCTGATGTCTGGACTGTTTCTTTTGTGAGAGATTATATTTATTTTTAAGCCAGTTGACTTAGAATGCTCTGTTGCTAATGACTGAAGACATTCTGAAACAGTTACACTTTTGTAGGAGTTATGCAATTTAGAAGTGGACTTCAGGTAAATCACTTATTCTGAGGTGTTGATACAGAGATCTTATTTTCTGTAAATTGTGATGTAAATAGTTTGAGCATTGGAAATCAACTTGAGATAATTAAATGTTTATGCCTCCTTGAACTGTCCTATCATTGACCTGCAAAATTACATTTTTTTAGTGTATGAAATAAATTTTGTTAGAGGTAATTAATTCGTGGATTATTACTATTAGTTGGCAATATATGGTGTGAGGTAAGGTTCTAATTTTACTTTTAATGATTGGCATTATGCCGTACAGCATTTGAATAACTTACCCCTTTATACCACTGAGCTGAAATGTTGTGTTTTTCACAAATACCACACATGGCTCCCGTTTCTGTTGCACAACAGTTTTTTTTCCATAGTCTTCTGATTGTGATTATGTTACATAACAGTAATGAAAAGTCTGGGCAGGGGATTTAGCGTAGTGGTTTCGCCACTTGCTGTGCAAGTGCAAGGACCTGAGTTCGATCCCCGGTACCAAAAAAAAAAAAAAAAGAAAAGTCTTGTTACTTGTATAGTTGATTATGTAACTTGGGGTCAGAACCAAAAGTTCGAGTATATGTGTTGGAATGATTATCTACAAAGGTTTCTCACACCAGTATATTATAGCTTACTTACACAATATAGGCTTTAAGAAAAATAAAGTAAAAGGAATACATGATGTTAATACTAGGGCCACATTCTCAGGCCAAGTTTGCCCCTCTCCTTCCCTGTCTTCTGTATCCTGTCTTGCTGTGCCCAGCTGTGCTGTCAGTGAGGCTTCTCAAAAAGGACTATATAGTAAGCCATGTGACTGAAAACTACATAATGGCCAACTTTATAGAATGCTTCTAACTAAACAAAATGAAGGAAATGCATTTAAAATATTATTTGCTTTGTTCTTATTGTAGTGTCTATCTTAAAAATAAATTACTTTTGCTTTCATGGAATTTAAAGTCTGTAGCTCCTGCCAAAGTGATGAACTAGCATGGACCACAGGCCTGTTTTCATAGCCCAATACTGGGCAGTCATAAAAATAATAGCTGTTTATGGTAGGTGTGGTGGCACATGCCTGTAATCCTAGCTACTTGGGAGGCTGAGCAGCAGGCGGTGTTGGAATGAGCCACAGAAGTGTCCAGAGCAGGGCTGGGGATTTAGCTCAGTGGCACCACGCCTGCCTTGCAAGCGCAAGTTCTGAGTTTGATCCCTGGTACCAGAAAAAAAAAAAAAAAAGAAGTGTCCAGAGGAAGGAGCATCCCAGGAAGAGGGGACTGAGAAGAGATTTCATAGCACAGCAGTCTATCAGCAGCCCCTTGTGTCTGCTTTTTCTTTCCTTTCCTTCCCCCTTCCTTCCCTCCCTCCACCCTCAACCCCTGTACTGGGGATTGAACCCAGAACCTCCACAGTGAGATACATCTCCTGACCTTTTAAATTTTTTTTATTTTGAGACAGCAACTCACCAACTGACTAAGTTGCCAGGCTGGGCTAGAATTTAAGATCTTCCCACCTCAGCGTCCCAGAGTGTTGGAATTATGGGCATGTAATACCACCATACTCAGCACCCTCACACTTTTATTCTGAACTATTCATTTAAAAAGTGTCCTGATCCACTAGATTAACTCCACAACCCAGTATCATAGGTCACCATGCCCTGCCATATGAAACCAATGTTCTTAGAAGGGGTCACCCTCTGTAGGGCTGCCTGGCAACTGAGGCACCTTCCAAAGGAATACCTATTCAAACGTAGGGTATCTTGCCACAAAGATTCCCAAGGACTCCCAGGAGCCTACCCTCCGTGCATTGCGCGCATCCTGCCTTGGGCTAGTTGAGGGCACTCTCTAGTCTTATTTATTTATTTATTTTGGTACCGGGATCAAACTTGGGTCCTTGCACTTGCAAGGCAGGCTGCGAAACCACTGAGCTAAATCCCTGGCCCCTCTCTAGTCTTTTTAAAGATGCTCATCCCACTCATTGACCTTACAGAGCTCCCACCTCCTAAAACCAGCACAGGCAGATCAGAGTTTCAGCATTTCTGGAGGAACATAAACATTCAATCCTTTGTAACATTGATTAGTAAGAGAATAAAATACAAATCATGCATTCATGGAATATTATACCGTTGAACATAACTGGAGTTGAATGTTTTAAGAAACTTCAAAGTGACACTTTGAGACTAAAACTAGGCACCAGAGAGTACAAACTTGCATTGATAAAAAAACATGCCTTCTCGCTCTTCCTGTAAGTGGCCGTAAGTGGCCAGAAGTGACTGTGAAAATGGCTTGCTACTCTCTTGACCCAGAAAACGCCACAAAATCATGCAAATCAAGAGACTCAAATATTCGTGTTCACTTTAAGAACACCCGTGAAACTGCCCAGGCCATCAAGGGTATGCATATCCGAAAGGCCACCAAGAATCTGAAGGATGTCACATTAAAGAAGCAATGTGTGCCACTCAGGCATGACAATGATGGAGTTGGTAGGTGTGCCCAGGCCAAACAGTGGGGCTGGACACAGGGCCAGTGGCCCAAAAACAGTGCTGAATTTTTGCTGAACGTGCTTAAAAATGCAGAGTAATGCTGAGCTTAAGGGTTTAGATGTCGATTCTCTGATCATTGAACATATCCATGTGAACAAAGCACCCAAGATGCACCGCTGTACTTACAAAGCTCATGGCCGGATTAACCCATACATGAGCTCCCCCTGCCACATTGAGATGATCCTTACTGAAAAGGAACAAATTGTTCCTAAACCAGAGGAGGAAGTTGCACAGAAGAAAAAGATATCCCAGAAGGAACTGACAAAACAAAAACTTATGGCACGGGAATAAATTAGGCATAAAATAAATGCAAATAAAAGTAATGTTACTTGTAAAAAAAAAATGCCTTCTCTACCCAGTGAAAGTGGCCTAAAGGACACTCAGAACACTGATAACAGCACATTCTGGGAGAGGTTGTGGCTAGGAGGTGTGTAGGACTAGGGGAAGACCGTGGGGTGTTCCTCTGTTTGGAATGGTGCTGGGACACTGGAATGTATGGAAATGTTTTGTGTAAGTGTTCATCAGGCCCCCTGGCTCCCTTAAGAAGTGGCCAAGTCAAAACACCTATACAAAGTAAAAAACCTGTGAGGATTCTGGGGAACTGAGGGGCTACAGAATTGGTGCTTTTCCATCCTGTTACATACAAAGTGAAGTGTGGTTCCACAGCCAAAGAGGATCAGGGACCAAGAGCTAAAGAATCAAGTTTTACACAAGCCCTACAAAAACTCCAATGGTATCCTTCAGTAGAGAAATAATCCTAAAACTCATACAGAAATCACATTCACCCTGAATAGCAAAGCAGTACTAAGAAAAAATTTGCAGTGCCACATTTCCTAACTTAAAATTATATTTGTACTAAGTCACAGTAATCAAAACTGGCATAAAAATATAAAGAGGGCTGGGGGTGTAGCTCAGTGGTAGAGCACTTGTCTACGATGTACAAACCACTGAGTTTGATCCCCAGCACCAAAACAGAAAAATACAGAGCCCTGCCAGGTGTGGTGGTACACTCCTATAATCCCAGCACAGGAGGCTGAGGCAGAAG